AAAAAAAAATTTTTGTAGTTTTAGATGGACATCATTGCTTTATTTTATTTATTTATTTTTATGTGGTAATAAGAATCAAACCCAGTGCCTCACACATGGTAGGCAAGTGCTCTGCCACTGAGCTACTGCCCCAACCCCTTCTGTTTTTATTAATGCATTATAGTTATGCATAATACTGTGATTTATATTGACATATTCACTTTTGTACTTAATAGAGTTTGCTCTATTACCATCCACAGTACTTCTAGTCTCCTTCCTCTCCTCCCTTCTCCTGATGCCCTGTTTCTGCTATTCTCCCTTATATTTTGTTGTTTCCTTTCTTTCTTTCTTTCTTTCTTTCTTTCTTTCTTTCTTTCTTTCTTTCTTTCTTTCTTTCTTTCATTCTTTATAATAAGATTAAATTCACTCTCGTATGTTCATATATGTATTTAGCATAATTTGGTCAATTTCATCCTGCAGTTCCTCACATTTCATGAGCATCCAATGTTCCCCTCAATTCTCTTCCACTCCTCCACTGAACTTTCTTCTATTGTCATGGATCCYCCATTTTGAATTTTATTTCTCTCTAGTTTTACCATATGAGAGAAAGTATTTGACCTTTGACTACCTGAATCTTGTTTTATTTACTTCTATAACTTGAATATTTTATTTAAAAATAAAATGTATTTTCCTAACATAATATAAAGTTACTTTAAAAGTGGAATGTGATGATCATTATTATCCAAAGTACATTCATGAAGACATAATTGGTGTGAATATACTTTGTATGCAATCAGAGATATGAAAAATTGTGAGAGTAATATAATGTGTAATAAAAATTGTAATGCATTCTGCTATCATATATAAATAAAAAATAAAATAAAATAATTCTGAAATTTATGAACCATATGTACAGCTATTGTTTTCAAAAACTTCCCATGCAATTCTRTAATTCAGAATTGGGAATCATTTAGCTATATTAGAAAGYTCAAAGGCCTTACTTTAGACTATGAARTCTCCACACTTGGAGGTCTWCCTTCATTGTTGGACCTCATTAGATATACACTTACAGCCATTTTAGGAAAGAGCAATAGCAACT